GCATAACACTTAGACTCTTTATGTGAATGCTAAAGAAAAAGGTTTGTTTAATTAATGCACGAGTTTATCTGGGTTTCATATGTGATATTTTTTAAGTCGATCAATGTTTATTAATTGGTGAATTTCATCACCCCCAACATCCATTAATCTGACAACTCAACCTGATAGAATTTTAATTACGCGGTAAGGTCCTATCAAGTTAGGTTTGAATTTCCCTCTTAGATCGATTGGTAGACCTCTAACCTCTTTTTGTACAAAGTCACCTTCTTTAATTTTTCGGGGTTGTACCCCTTTGTTAAAATGTCGCGCAATATGTCGTTGGTAGACTTGTACATGATGCAAAGATCTTAATCGTCGTTCATCGACGAATAAAAGCTCTTCATAACCCGCTCTTACTCATTCAGCGTCTGGTAGCTTACTTTCGAGTACGACGCGTAGGGATGGTACTTCCATTTCAACTGGTTGTACTGTGTCCATTTCAAAAACTAAGGAGTATGGAGTTACTCCTATGGATGTTCATATGGATGTTCTATAACCCCATAAAGCGAAGTGTAGTTTATTTAGCAAGCCTTTGTAATTTTCTGCCATTTTCTTAGTGATGACTGTTATGTTTTATCTGCCATTTTCTTTGCCATGTTCATATGGATGTTTAGAAGTGATATTCAAGTAAGAAGCAGCCTCAATCCACTTAATAAAGTAATCGATGGCTACTAGAACGTACTCGTGTCCTCCTGTTTCAGTTGAAGAAATTTTGCCAATTATGTCGATTCCCCAAGTCGAGAAAGGCCACGGGGAAGTGAGATTGTACAGCTCGGATGGTGGGAGATAATGTAAGTTATCGAACATTTGGCGCTCTGGACATTTCTTGACATATTGTATGCAATCACGTTCCATAGTGGACCATTAGTACCCTTGCAGTGAGATTATTTTAGCAAGCATTGTTCCGTTCATGTGAGGTCCACAAACACCTTTATAAGTGTCTTCCATAAGGCGTGTGGATTCTGGTCGGTTTATACACAATAAGCTTTGACCATTAGGTCCCTTTTTGCATAATTGACCATTTACTATACCATATTGGGCTGCGAGTGTTCTCAAGGCCCGTTGGTATTTCGATGAAGTATTTTTGGGATATGTGCCATGAGTATAATAGAGGATATGATCATACCAAGGATTGTTTCTTTCAATGTCATTTATTTCCTCTATTGCGTTGCAATATGCAGGTTCTTCTCTTCTATAAACACATAATGGTATAATATTTAAGTGATCTCGAATGTTGATCATTGAGGCTAATTTTGCTAGCGCATCGGCAAATTGATTATCATACCTTGGGAGATATTTGAAATCAATATGTTCAAAATTCTCGATGACACTAGTGGAAAAAATGCCATTGTAACGGGCAAAGCTATGCCAGTTACAATTAGCTTATTTGTAACGGGAAAAATAGAATTCCATTACAATAAAGTGACAAAAGCTGGAAAAACAAGTATTTGTAACGGGTAATAAAATGTCCGTTACAAAAACTATAGTATTTGTATTAGACATAATTTTGCTTGTTACCAATACAACATTTTTTGTAATCAACAATTTTTTCCTGATACAAATAAGTCAGTCAAAAGTAAATTGGCTTTTTATTTGTAGCCAACACTTAGAGCATACACAATGGTTGCCCAACCCCATCTTGGTTATTGATTATTTTATTATTTTATCCATCTTCCACCTCACTTATAACCACTCTTATAACCATTTAATAACCAATGTATGCCAATAGTTAACCATAATATTTTGGTTATACATTTTCTCTCTCCTACTTTTACCCAACCCCACCACACAATTTATTACTTAAATTCTATTATTATTAAATAATGCATTTGGTAATAATCATTCAAAATTAATAATTATTTATTAGCATACATTAATTAGATAAAATCTCAAAAATTTAAAAATAATGCAATTTTGATATTAATTAGTACGTAATTAGTCGTTAATTAAGACACAAACAATAATTGTAACCCTACTACATTCCACAATAATAAAAATCATACATATATATTCTATCAAATGACAAAAGTCTTTGAAAGATAATAACGAACCGCGAACAAGTACAAACACAATGATATAATATTGCGATTACACATCTATTAATGCATATTATTGTCCCTACTTTGAACACCGAATTTGAGCCACATATGTTCAACTAAGTCTTTCTTCAATGCTTTATGCATAGCTTCATCACGAACACGTGCTCTATTAGACATGTAAGTTTCCAAACTTGCAATTCGGTTGTTGCTATTTTGGAACTGAAAAGGCTCTTCATTATTTTCATTACTTGAAGACGCATTTGTAGCTTGATCATATTCATTTGGATCGTAATACGTTTTATATGTATCTCTTTCATCCTCAACAATCATATTGTGCATAATAATACACGCTATCATTATTTTTCCTAACATTGATGCGTCACGAGCTAGCGCTGGATTCCGTATTATTGCAAAACGAGCTTGTAATACTCCAAAAGCACGCTCAACGTCCTTTCGTTTAGCTTCTTGTACTTTGGCAAATAGACCTTCTTTTTCATTTTGTGGTAGTGATATTGTAGGAATGAATGCCGCCCATTTAGGATATATACCATCAGTGAGATAATATCCCATATTGTATGTGCGACCATTCACAACATAGTTAATAGAGGGTGCACAACCTTCAAAAACATCATTAAACAATGGGGATCTATCAAGAACATTAATATCATTACGACTACCTGGTGTCCCAAAAAAGGCATGCCAGATCCAAAGATCATATGATGCCACAGCTTCCAAGATTAATGTGGGTTTACCTGGTCTTCCAGAAAACATACCTTTTAATCGAAGTGGACAGTTTTTTCCACCTCCAATGCATACAATCAATAGAACCTAACATGCCAGGAAATCCACGACGTTCACCAATCCTTAGTAGTCTTACTAGATCTTCTTCATTGGGCTTTCGAAGGTATTCATCACTAAAGTAAGAGACTATTCCTTCCACAAAATGCTGAAGTGAATCTCTTGCAAGAGATGCACTAATCCGAATGTAGTCATCCACAGAATCAGCGGAGGTGCCATAAGCTATTAGTCTCATAGCCGCGGTGCATTTTTGTAATGCAGAGGCACCAAATCTTCCTGTAGCATCTTGTCTTTGCTGGAAGAAGGGATGACGTTCTTCTAAAGTTTGCTTAATTCGGAGAAATATATGTTTGTTCATGCGAAATCTCCGACGGAATAATTGTGGAGGGAACACAGGATGGTCGGTAAAGTAGTCATTCCATAAACGACTGTGTCCATCCTCACGATCCCTTGGAACGGGAACCCTTGGTGGCCTTGGCACTTGATTAAACATTTGATATACTTCAACTGGATTGGACATAAAAACTTCATCCATCATTCGATCGAACTGGCGATTGGCTTGCCTTCGTCTTTCATATCGTTGGGTTTGGCTATTTTCTGAATTGGAAGAGGAATTAGAAGAGTTGGAGCTATCGTCAGATGACATGTTTTTAAAACCAAATTTGATATGAGAATGGAAGGTAGAAGTATAATAGGGGGAAATGGATGGTTGTTCAAGGGAATCCCACTCTGATGTATCCATCTTATAGAACAAGTGTGTATGATATGTAGTAATTTTTTTGTCTTATATGGTAAATTTGAAGTCTTGCATGCATGCAATGATTCATAAAGTAGTTAATAATTTTTAAAAGTAATGGAGATGCATGCCTTTGCATTGTCACTATCACCTTAACATTGTTATGTACGTCAAAGCAAGTGATGCATGCTACTATTTCCTTTTCAGTGTTAAGTACATCAGTGAACAAAATTCACTATTACCTTTTCAGTGTTAAGTACATCAATGTCTAGTATTTAATACTTGCTTTTCAGTGTTGGGTACATCAAATACTTTACAGTGTAATGTAAATCAATGTACATCTTTTGCAGTGATCAGTACCTTCTTCGAAACACCTTTGTTTGTATAGTCTAACATTATTATACATTTCTTCAATTTTCCTCCAAAAAACATCCCCCTTTTGGTTAGTGTTAGTTTTTTTATTTTGACTAACCTCAAGCCAAGCCTTCACAAGAACCACTTCTTCAGCTTTTGACCAAAAAATTTTCCTTCCATCTTGATTGCCTCCTTCATTACCTCTTTCATTACCTTCGCCTTCTTCAACTTCTGGTTCATTTTCGTCATCTGATGCATTCGATGTGTATGAACAATCGAAACTCGGAAATGCACCATCACCTTGTGACATAGAAAAATGTTGAGACATGGGAAATGTTGAATCAATTTGAGAGATTTGAATATTTTCAAAAGATGGGATAACATTTGGAGAATTTGAATAATTAGGATTTTGTGGTGGTTGAAAAGGAAACGGAGTGAAAGTACTTGGATTTGAGAAATTGAGATTTTGTGAACCGTAATTCGGAAAATTTTGAAAATTTGTATCTAAATCTGAGTTGAGATCAATTGGAAGATTAGAATAGTAAGGTTGAGGATTTGGATTATTTTGGGGCTGTGATGAGTTATGAGATTTTGTGGATTTTTATTTTCTGTTAGATTTTGGAATGTTCATCTTAACACAATTTGCCAATAAGAAGAGTAATTTTCACTTAAAAAAAAGTTGTTTCAAAATACTTCAATATTGGGCTCATTTTATAGAGAAAAATAAAATAGAGCCGTTGGTGTATTTTTTTTTTCAGAATTGTATTTTAAAAATTATGGCCGTTACAAAAATTACAACGGTTATAAATTCAGAGCAAATCTCAACCATTGATATTTGTATTACGTGTCAAAATTTTAGCCATCCATGTCAACCAAAAAGCAAAAAAAAAATTGCATGACCATATACATAACCGGTTATTTGAATAATCTGGTTATTCAATTGATACCCCAATAATTTCTCTCTCCTCAATATTTTATTAATATTTTCATTTTCTCTCTTTTAATAACCACCCAAATAGTTAATGGCTATGGGTACTCTTAAATATTTTCCTTTCATACGAGGAGCCGTCTCTCTCTCTTGTCATCTTCTCTCTCCTCTCTCTTTCTCTTGAAACTTCTCCATCTTCCTCCTCCTTATTTTTGCCACCAGTCAAGGGCTTTGACGCCCTTCCTCCTTCTTTCTTCCATTCTTACGGTATTACCCCCATTGGAGAATAGGTAAAATGTTTTTATTTAATCTCCGATTGTCAATTTAAGAATCAAGTGTTTTAGAATTTTGGGTTTTAGCGAAGGAGGAAGAGGCAAGAGGGAACATGACAGAGGAAAAGAAGATGATTCTTCGGGGTTCAGGTGGTAGCTGCTCGAAAATGACGAGTTTCTCTATCGTCATTCTCTCTCTATATATTCTTCTACAGTGTTTCTTTGATTTTCGCCTATGTATTTGTTGAATTATTAATTGATTGTTGTTTATTGTTGTTGTTGTTTTTGTTGTTGTTGTGCTGGGGAGTGAAAACCATGGCCGAAGTTAGGGATTTTGCAATAACGTAGTGATTCTTAAGTAATTTCAAGTTCTTTTTTTTTTCTTCCAATGAATATGATTTTTAGTATGAAACTCGCCTGTGTGTGTTTGTTTTTTTTTTTTTAATTGCTTTTCCAAATTTTTAACTTCATATTAATTTTGTTAGTATTTTCGTTAATAAGTTAGTGTTAGTCTACATAGTCACTACATGTTTTTATGGTTTAATCTTTAGTGGTTTTCAAATTTTTATAACGTGAGGCATGGTAATCTTCTGGGTTTGTTTGTATAGTGTTTCATTTATCTCTTTGTTCAATAAGTATGAAAATTGTGTAATCAATATTAATGTTTTAAATTGGTCAATTTAGTGTTAAATTAAAGAGTTATATAAACTAAAGTCTGCAAATTACCATCAAAGTTGAATTCATTTGAGTATTTATGCCCAATAGTTCACAAGTAACCTTAATTGTATTTGTCTCTGTAAGCTTGTTGACTATGTAACTCTCTTATTTTCATGCATCTTTATCTTCCTACCCTAAAAAATCATCTACCAGTGTTTGTTGTTCTTTATCTTAATATTTACAATATGCTTTTAATTTGGTTAAATAGATTCTAATTTATGTAATCTTTAAGTAATGTGCACTTGTCTGAAGTTAATTATGATTTAATTGTGGATTTTGATGCTGAAATAAACTTATTTAGTATTTGCGTTTATTTTATTAATGGCAATCAGAGAAGTCGGTTGCCTAAACATGTGATGCTACTTGTTATTTTTTTGCTGCTGGTTGAAGATGGAAGTAAAAACAGTAAAAGGAAATTAATTGAAAGAAATAGGTCTTGATTAAGAGGGAGGAGGGGGTATATTTTAGACTCTTTATGAGTCTATCTAGAGTGTAGTGGACTATGTTTCATACCTGTTTTAAATGTTGTCTGGATTGTGGACTTATACTCCCTTGAACAGTGGACTGGTGTCCATAAAGGAGTTAAATTCAGAATGTTTTTGTTAATGTTTTGCTGATCAGTCATTATTTGGCGGTATCAACTTTTATTGAATGTTGTCTGAATTGGTAAGAGACGTAAGTTTTCTATTATTCTGATTTAATTAATTCCTGTATATATTGAACTTATGAATTTTAACAATACGAGCTTATGAATTATAACAATGCAAAGTATTTTGCTTCATTTATGCTATGGATGAACTATAATTTTCAATGGGTATGCCTATTTATTGTTTTTGTAGTGGGAAGCTCTTGATCTATTACTCATATTCATATCTACATTGGGACTTCCTGTTTCAGCAAGAGCATACATCTATACATTGATCTTTGTAAGTGACAGATATTTAGATGTTATCACCTTGCATATTACATGTTAGGTTTGTATAATAAAATATTATTGATGCTTATCTTTGGCCTCTGTATTTAATGAGTATGCTTATATACCTTTAAGTAACTCTATTTCTTTTTCCCTTTGTGGATTTTCCTATTACTTGCTCTCATGTGTATATCTGAGACATTTAGAATTGAAGCAGCCAAGGCTCAACGTTCACAAGCTGCTTAGATAAGAGTCCCTCAATTTTATTAATTTTTTTAGGCATTGGATTCTCTAAAACTTTGAAAATCTTTCAAATTGATTGCTTGTCTTATATTTGTGTTTTAGTACCTGACTTACTGTTTGGGTTAGGGTTCTTGATTTGCTAATTTGTGATTTTTTTTTATTTATGTTTTAGGAGGCAAGAAAGATTGGGTTAGATGTTGTTAAGGACATATGACCAACCCCAATGATAGCAAGGAACTGAAGTCTGAGATGGCTTTTAGTGTACAAAACAGGATACTATTGTTTTGTACAATGGAAAAGAAACTCTTATTTCTATCCATGAGAGGAAGCGGTTTTAGGTAGCACATGAAGGAAACTTATGCTCAAATGCTTTTGGCAGCATCAGTAATAATGCATCTGAATGCATATCAGCATCTGACAAAACTAAGTGTGTAAAACAAGTTCTATTGATGCTGCTGAAGACAGAGACACTGGTGACGAAGAAATCAAGAATGGCAGTGTTAATCTTTTTATTGTTGAGGATAGAGATAGAGAAATGTCCGAGACATCATGTACCAGACATGTTGTATCATGCTTTGATGTTGGAAGTGTCTGCACTGAGGTGTCTGAGCAGTGTGAGAATAACCCAGAAGTTGATACTATTGCCGTTGTTGATGAGCATGAATTTCACTTGAAACATGATAATAAAAGTGCTATTTTGAATAGTACCCCACATAAGGATATTCTATTCTGATTGGAAAAGCTATGTGATAATTATTTTTTTCCATTAAGTGAGACTTCTAAAACTCTTGATTTATGTATATACTTTTTCCATTTTTATGAGTTTACCTGTTTGTCGTGTTATGCCTTTGTGAACATAATAGTGCATTATATATGAATGATCATTGACCTTTTTTTTTCAACCAATTCCCGAGGTTCAGTTGAAAAGGAAGTGGTGACTATGTGTTAGAATCCAACTCCTTTTGATGTATTAGATTCCATTTAAGTGCTTTCCTAGAGTTGAGGTTATGTTTTATTAGCTTGAGGTCCCATTATTGTATTACTGTCAGATCAGTGTTCACTAGGGATTCTCCTTGTATGTCATTTAAAGCTCTTTAGAGGGCGAATGATTAATGAAATCTTAAAGCCTTCTACCAAGTGTTGCTTTGCTTTTATGCTTGTTTGTTGTTAGACCTTTATAGATATTGTGTCTTACTTGCATATTAGCTCCCTCCAACCCAACTTGATGCGCTAAGGACTCGTGGTTCGGACCCGCTTGTGCCCGCTTTGAAGTATCGGCCGTCACAAGCCCCGACCAACCGCACTCCGTCGCCCAGATAGACGTGAGTGCTCCTGAGATTCTATTGCCCGCTTGTGTTGCTTTGTGCTCACAAGCCCCTCTTCCGCTAAAGGCTAGCGTTCTTGCCGCCAAAAGGCTAGAGCGCGCCGCACGTTTCGGGGTCCAATCTCCCGGACCGTGACAGTTGGTATCAGAGCCGAGGCTCAAACCTCGTCGCAAGCAACCCATGTAGGCACCAAGGAGGGCTACACGAAGATGAAATTCGTAGAAGAAAGGCTCGCTTGGCTCGAGGAGAAGGCGGACAAATGGGCCGAGCGCCAAGTCATTGTACACGAGCAAGCCGAGCAAATTGTGAAATTGATGGCTGACAGAGATGCCCTCCGCGAACAATTGCAATTTGTTCAAGGAAAAGCCGACGAAGCACTTGAGAAATGTGCTACCTTAACGCGCGCTGTGGGCAGAGACGCACTGGGTGTTGGTGCGGCGAAGATAAAGCCGCCCAAACCTTGCGACTACAGTGGCGCTAGAGATGCGAAAGAAGTTGATAACTTCCTCTTCGACATGGAGCAGTACTTCCGAATATGTCAACTAAGTGACGATCAGAAGGTGGATACTGCCATCATGTACTTGTCCGAAGATGCTAAGCTGTGGTGGCGCACCAAGCACGCAGACATCGAAGCAGGAAGGATCAAGATTGATACATGGGCGGAGTTCAAAGAGGAACTCAAAGAACAATTCTACCCCGTCAACACAGCGTTTGTTGCACGGATGAAGTTGCAAGAGTGCCGCCAGAAGGGTTCTCTTCGCAACTATGTTAAGGAATACTCGGCGATAATGTTGGACATCACAGACATGAATGAGAAAGATCGTGTGTTCAACTTTGTCAACGGGTTAAAGGAATGGGCGCAACGAGAGATTTTGAGGCAGAATATTGATACCCTCGCTGCTGCTATGTGTGCTGCTGAGAGATTGATGGACTACTCAGTCGGGAAGGGTCGTCAATCCGAGAAGGATTCAAGTGGGACGTCAACACGCTCTAACAGTCCGTCTCCAAGCTCTCCAAAGGGTACAGAGAACGGCTCACGAGTATCGTCCAACACCATTAATACATATCATAGAAGAAGTGGAGGAGGTGATGCCCAGAGACAAACATCTACCCCCTCCCACAACTCAGGAAACTCGAGGGCCGGTGCATCCTCGGCAAACACAAGGGCAATAAACTGCATACTTTGTCGAGGTCCACACAAATGGTGGGATTGCGAGCATAAAGAAGAACTTGACAAGATCCAAAAGAGATTGTCATCCATGTCCGTTCAGGAGGCCACAAAAGAGACTAGCAGCGATGAGGAGCCCACATATAAGATGGGTTCCATACGACGCCTGAGTGCTACGAGAATGATAGCACCTCAAGAAGAACCAGAAGTCCGATATCTTTCGGCAATGCGAGTGATGGAGCCTGAGAAGAAGGCAACATCGAAGAAACAAGCTCGCACCAGAAACCCAGAGAAGTGGGAGATGAAGCCCATGGAGTTGGCAACATCCCAGATACACACCCGCCAAAACCAGAATCAGTCACAAGGTTCGAAGCAAAGAGCGACGAGCCTAGAGACACCAAGGAAGAACCTCCCAAGAGGTAGGAAAAACAGTGGTTGAGCAAACAACGCAGGGCGCGTGCAAGGGATTACAAAGAAAATGGTCACCCAAGAGGCACCAACCACAACTTGAAGCTCTCCACCACAGTCTCAAGGAAGCAGCTCCCCAACAGATGATGGTGGAAGCAGCTGTCCCCCTTAATTCAACAAATTCCACTCCCAGGAGGAAATTTAGAGATGAAGCTCTCAACAAGATGTTCGAGCCGAGCGACTCCAGAGACAAGCTCCTCGTCAACAAAGAAGATCCAGCTCAAGAGTCATATAAGATTCCAGAAGATAGCCGCACCAACGGCGCATCCGAAACTTGAGATAGTTTAAGGTTTTCTAATTTTGATTGTAACTTTTGTAAGTCGACGAGGTCGTCAACAGCTTAAGTGGGGGAGGATGTTAGAATCCAACTCCTTTTGATGTATTAGATTCCATTTAAGTGCTTTCCTAGAGTTTAGGTTATGTTTTCTTAGCTTGAGGTCCCATTATTGTGTTACTGTCAGATCAGTGTTCACTAGGGATTCTCCTTGTATGTCATTTAAAGCTCTTTAGAGGGCGAATGATTAATGAAATCTTAAAGCCTTCTACCAAGTGTTTCCTTGCTTTTATGCTTGTTTGTTGTTAGACCTTTATAGATATTGTGTCTTACTTGCATATTAGCTCCCCTCCAACCCAACTTGATGCGCTAAGGACTCGTGGTTCAGACCCGCTTGTGCCCGCTTTGAAGTATTGGCCGTCACAAGCCCCGACCACCCGCACTCCGTCGCCCAGATAGACGTGAGTGCTCCTGAGATTCTATTGCCCGCTTGTGTTGCTTTGTGCTCACAAGCCCCTCTTCCGCTCAAGGCTAGCGTTCTTGCCGCCAAAAGGCTAGAGCGCGCCGCACGTTTCGGGGTCCAAACTCCCGGACCGTGACACTATGGCTCAAGAAATAGGATGTACTAAGGAAGCAGAAGATTTGAGCATATGTGGAATAAGACTCTGAGTACTGCTATTCATGAAAAGCTTAATGAAGCTCATGAACAAGAATTTTGCCAACAAAGTAATTGGCAACATACTCTTTCTTAAACTTTTCACGTTATTATCTTCATTTAAGAAGGCTCTAACTTATTTTCTGAAATCTTCATTTAAGAAGGCTTTAACTTATTTTCTGAAATTTTCCTTTAATCTATGTAGCTATGTCTGTTGGTTCAATCAAGAAGAATTTTATCCGAAATCCAATTTGGTGTATATGTTATGTTTGTGACATGAAATATTTGGATTTGTTATAAATTATTATAATAAATTGGGTGGTAAATGGAAAGAAGAATATGGGTATTAGTAACTATCACCTGAAATGCTAGTTATAAATGCCCCTAATTTTTTGTCTTATTCGGAGATTATTCATAACGGACATTGTAATTTCCTGTTAAGAATTACTACTTATTCGTAACGGGCAACTACAATCACTACTACAAAAATGGCCAAAGAGACCCAATATAAAAGACCTGTTAAATACATAAGCGGTCTCTTTGTTTCAAGAGACCATTTATCACTAATAACTGGTCTAAAAAAATTCAAAAGACCATTTTTTTAAGATAACGGGTCTCTCCTGGTTTTTTAGAGTTTTATTTTTTAAAAAATTAAATTAGCTTGAGACCGGTTCTTTTAGAAAACAGGTCTCTTGGGATTTTTTAAAAAAATCGAGGAATATAGAGAGACCCGTCATTTTAGATGACAGGTCTCAAGTAATATCCAAAAACCGGTCAATTAAAATAACCGATCTCTTGAATGTTGTTTTTTAAAATGTGAGAAATTAGAGAGACCCGTTATCCTAAATAACAGGTCTCTCGAATTGATTCACCCATATATGTAGGCAGCCAATCCGTCATACGCCCATTAAGTCCTAAACCCTAGAACCTTCATTTTCCCTCTCTTGTCTGCCGCCACTTTACACTCTCTTTCATCTCTTCTTTTCTTTCTCTCTTACTCATCTTCATCTGTCTTCCTCAGCTTGCATTGCTCATGTTTTTTTGGTTTCTAAAGCGAATCTCGCACAAAATGAAATAAAAAATTTGGTTCATTTACTTCTTTCCTTAATCTTAAGAAATTATCTTTCCTCTATTGTTACAAAGATTCAAATCTATTGTCAAGGTGAGTTTTGTATTATCTATACTATATATTAAAAGGCGTTCCTTTTAAAGGAACGGTGCCACGTGGCACTCTTCAAAGTATATGACAACATGTCATAATACCACGTCAGCAACACGTAAGCTTGCGACTTCATTTAACAAAATTAATAAAATATGATTTTATTAAGAATCGAACCCTCAACCTCACACAAATAAGTGCTACACACTTACCATCTCCACCAACTTTTATTTGTATTTTAAATTTCGCATATTTAACATTATATATTCCTTTTAAATTAGAGTTTATTTAATTTATTTATTTTTCACAAGATTAGAAAATAAATACATATGTAGTAAAAAAAAAACCGTAACGTCCGGGACAACGCCCAAATTACACACTAGCTATACAACACTTGAACATAATTATCAAGTTAAGGAAGTACAAACTAGCAATTTGGGCGGGGCATCGCCCGGGATACACACTAGTTTTTGTTATTAAGTGTTGATCTTCATGTTTTTCAGTTTTTCTTAATGAAAAATCTGAATTTCTTATAATAATTGTTTTTTAACATCCTTTTTTATTGTTAAAAAACAATAATTTGTCCGATTTTCGTTTAGGCATGATAATAGGTTGTTTGTTTGCTTATTATGTTTTCGTTTCAAAAACTATTTTTGCCATTTTTCGAACTATGAAAGATGTTTAGCCATGATAATGATATTTGTCCAATTATCATGATAATGATTTTCGTTTAGCCATGATAATGATAATTTCATTTGAAAACACCTTTCATAGTCAGATCTAGTATTTTTCGT